AAATATTCAGTTGCTTCCTACCTGACATCTAAGCTCTGATTTAGTTGGAGTGGCGAGCAGAAAACGCACAAACTCTTTGCGGGAGATGGGCGAGTGATCATCGGGAGGCTGAGAATTCTGAAGCAGGACATCATTGTTATTTATTTCCACGTTGAATAAGTCGCTTTTTCACCTTTATATAACTTCTTCAGCCTAGTTTTTACCTTGACAACACCTTCAAGCTGCTCAGCAAGACGTTCGATTCCAAAGAAACGAGCTTCTTCAAGCACGCCTGCATAAAATAATTTTCCATAGGTACTAATTTCATATGCAAAGAGCTTAACCAATCATAACAGAGCTCATTTACATATTAGAATGTCAGTTACACACACACACACACAAAAAAAAAAATCAAAGGTACAATACCAAAAGCAGGATATATTCAGAAAGAGGGAGGAAAATGCTCATTGAAAACTAAATTATGATGATTTTCGGTAACAACCGTTTTGGAAACACATAAAATGCTACAAAATGGTACATGTCTCTACTGTCTTACCCAGCAGATTGATGCCGTCATTGATAATGAGCTGTCCGTGTCTCAGGTAATTTAATATGGGCTCAAAGTAATCTGGACTCCGATCGATGAGATACGCCCCTTGCTCGTCCTGTTTGTTTCCCCAAACATCTGCCAGGAAATGACAGAAGAAAAAGAGCAGTATGAATAAAAGCAGTAAGGCAGCACATGCACAAATTATATTTTGAACAGTAGACAGAAAAATCATCAGTTCTGTCCTCACCCTTGTCTCTGAACATGTGAGCCAACATACTCTCCGGTTCTTTGACCAAAGTGCTCCTAACAACCACAAAAAAGTGTTAAAGGGGTCATATGATGCAATTTCATTTTTTCCTGTCTCTTTGGAGTGTTACGAGCTCTTGGTGCATAAAGAAGATCTGTAAAGTTGCAAAGACTAAAGTCTCAAATCCAGAGAGATATTCTTTATAAAAGTTAAGAGTCAGCCACACCTACCTAAAACGGCTCATTCTAACACGCCCCCACATATCTAAATTCGTCACATAGCTGTGGAGCAGATTAAATGGGTTGAGTGGATGAATGTCACAAAAACATTAAAATACGTTAATGAATAAAAAAAATGCATTAATAAAATAAGATTATGTGACACAATTTTCATGAAAATTAAGCACATTTCCCCCCCAAAATTTACATTACTGTAATTCAAAAGTGATCACATTTTTAATAGGGAAGGCCAAAAATCAAACGCTGTGTGCAAAAGTAAATTTAGCATTATATCCAACTATATTAGAAATTAATATATGTTTCAAAGACATGTTTTTTCCTATTTTTCCCCTGCTCTTGTGATATGTCATGGTGGTTTGGTTTGGGCACCTCTGCTGTAATGCATTCAAAGATTGTTTTTTTAATAATTCTCATTGTTATCATTGATGATTATCATTAGTTACCCTCAACACCATAATAAAGTAAAAGATTTTTGTAATACAATTATTATTTTTTTTATTTAAATGAGCATAATTAATTGCATGACAACAAATACTATGAAAGAAAAATATTATTTATATTAAAATGAACATATTTAAATAATTACATTTAAACCATATATTTTATTTCACATTATAGTAATGAGAATTAAATGTTTGTGCTTGCTTGTCATGAAAATAATGCAAAAAAAAAAAGGACGTTTGATTATGATGGTTGTGATGGTTTAGATTATGGATTACAGTTATTAAGATTAGTATGATCTGTTTTGACATCACCGTGTGGTTGTGAACCGCCGGCCTCCCACATTGAGGGTGATCCAATCTGTGTGTGCCCAGGAATGAAACTCATGCGGACTCTCTAGGTTATTTGGTGGATCTGTAGGAAATTAATAAATTAAGACTAAGATTAAAGCAACAGAAGACAGATCTAAGAGAAGCACAGACCAAATCCAAGTTATAATGTCAAACTCACCAACAAAATGATCTCCTTCCGATATATACAAGACATCATCATCTCTGTTCCAGAGAAACACCAAGTGTTTAATGTTTATGATATTGTACAGATGTAAATATGCATTTTTTATATACAAGAGAACTAGTTATTGTTCTTACCTGATGAAGGCTATATCATCAATAAGACCTCCGTTCCCATTGTATATGTTAGCAGCTTTTATTCCAAATTTTGTGCTTGCAACTGAGAGTAGATCAGCTAGAGTTCCATAAACTGCCACCACCTGATGTAAAAGTCATAAAAGGAGCAACAAAATGAGATTTATTCAGCAAGCATACCTTTAATTCTATATTAGCAAGACAATAGATAACAAAACACCCTCACCTTGCCATTGTGTGAGGCTCCATTTACAAACAGCGTGACTCTTCTCATATCCGAGGTTATAATGCGACTCTTCAGTGTCTGTATTTATTGTTTATAAACTCCACGTAACTGTAAATCATCAAAGCATTTCCGATTACTGCAGAAGACTGTTTACTTCCGTCATTACTGCAGCCAATCAGAGACTTTGAAAATAGAGCGCGATAGTGCAGGGCAGAGCCATAAAAAGAGAGAGTTGCGTCAACGGAAGTCCAAAACGCTCGATCGTCACGTGATTCACGTAGACCTCAAATAGTTCCAGGAAGTTCATAGCGGGCAATTGAAATACATTGAGTTGGAGAGACAGAACTGTGATTTTTTGGTAATTAGTAGACAATAAAATAATTTATTTACAGAGACAGGAGACCGAGGTGGGCGGGGTAAAAAAAAAAATCGAAATTATTCTCTGATTGGACAGGAACGATGGGGCTAAATAATTGTTTTGGTTTTTCCGTACTGTGGATTTACATTTCAATGGACACTGACATTTCTCTCGTGTCGTTATTTAATAAAAAAATATTATTAAGACCGCTTGTGATGCAATACAAAGATGACCTGGTCACGTGATACTTGCTACTTTTCTCAGCGCTGATCATGATGGTCGAATCACAGTCGTTTGAAATTACTTAATGTATTTTTATAATCGTTTTATTTCTATTTGTACGTCAGGTACTAATTGATTGGATTGATTCAACAGATAAAATTTTTGTGTGTTTAACTGTCTCCAATAAGACGAAAATGAATTTGAATGGAGCTCAATGGAGAATTCGGCGTTTTGAGCCATCAAAACTTGTTTGAATGGACATCTTTATAAAACAGTCAATTTTTGTGACTTGTACGATATTTCACAATCAATAATAGTAATTAACTCTAATATGTTATTACATCATTTTAATATAATTAGGGACCTCTAGACTTACATTAAAAAACAAACGAGTTTCACACCAACTACATGTGACAAAAATTCAGCAGTCTTGAAAACCACTGTTAACAACACCAGCAGCAATGCACAAGCAGACAAACGCTTTTATTGCTGTTTGTGTTTACATAACTCACAGAAGTTTTATTTCAGACAGCATTAATTTATTTACCATATTGAATTTACAAAATTAAAAGAAAAAGCAACAATTGAAGAAACAGGTTTGTACATTTTAGACCTTTTCGTCATTTATTTTTTTGTTTTTTAAGTTTGAATAGCAATCCACTGTACACAAGGCTTATGATGATATTTCTATATCTTGAAAAAGAAAAACAACCAAGATGCTCCGACTTCCCAATGACGACACTGGAGTAAGGCGAATCTTAGGTTGGACAAACTGGACTTAAACGTAACCCTGCTACCCCATCATCCCATTAGAGAGCAGCTCTCTTTCAACAAACACTACAGAAATACTAGTGCCAGAAGAGCTTCTAAATCCATTCGGCCACCCTCTGCCTTTGATATCCACGTCGATGAGATTTACATTGAAACAACACACAATCTCAGTCGTTCTGTTGAGTTCATGCACTAATCTGGAATTCGGGGATACTCTGAATATACATTGAAATCGTGCCACAATGATGAGACGTCTCATGGCCACGTAAAAAACTCACTGGACGACTTAATTAAAGCTTCAGTCAACAGTTCTGGTTCTTGAGTTAACAATATGAGAATCATGGGAAATGTTCAGAGGAAAAACTTGTTCGCAAGTCAATTTTTGTGCGGTAACAACTATGCTTTACAACTTAAAGCTGACAAACATAATTCTAAGAGCAACATTTCAACAACAAAAAAAAAAAAAACAGTAAACCACTTGAAAATGTTCCTTTAAGCCGCCCCTTTTCATAAACCGATGATTCCACGTTAAAATGTACTGTATACTAATAATAACACTTGTCGACATTTCAAGCAGCGATAAATCTAGCTATCTACCGTGTACTTCATATTTCAGTATATATAATTAATTTCCTTTGAGCTACAGAGTGGTTTCGGCCTCAAGACGGTCAAGGGGAGGGACACAGACAGGAAACACAGTAGTGTACATTCCAGTGAATTGTAGTGGTGAGCGATGCTTTTTTCTATTGTATACGTTCATCATTAAAGTGTCAAATAAGAATAAAAATACTATGCTGAGAATTGCAACATTTAAAGAAAATGATCGATCTCTTCATTTCTGGAATGAAATTCTTACAAGAGAGTAAAACAATCACCTTCATGTTTCATTATAATAGATATGACAATATCATACAGGGCAGGGTAAACAGTGTAATAAATATCCAAGTGCTGAACTGAAATATTGGCTTTAAATGAAACAATAGTTAAAAGTATTTACTGACGCCCTGAAAAGCCTTTTTTCTGTGTTTGATGGGTGCAGAACGAGCAAGGGATGCCCGGTCGCATTCTGCCCCAGTGCTACTCGTCAGGTGTCCTGAACGAGAGCTGGGCAGGGGCCACGGAAGGCATGCCTTAGCTGCGGATGGGAGGCTCGGCAGGTTTGCTGTCGGGACGGGTGGGGGGGGGGGGAGGGGAACAGAGGGAGGGCAAGC